TCTTCTTCCACCCTACCTCAACTCCTCAGTTCCTTACAGGAGCAACTCATGGGTTTAATCTGCAAGTAACAACAAATGTTTGCCCATTCTTTATTCAAAAAACCCATTGTAACCAGAAGTCAATGCATGACTAGAATCAATATTCAACAACCCATCCTAATAAAGAATAGCAATGATTTTACAAATGGCAGATAATCTAACACAATTTATATCTGATTATAAAACGTGTTTTATATTTCTATAGGAGTATGAGAGTGTTGGATATATTGCAAATTCACATTACTTTAAAATAGAAGAACCTCAAAATATCACCTAATCAAGAAGAAGTAGAAAATTACTCAGCTTTCTTATCCACACTAACACAGACTAATACAAAAAAGTCAGACAGAACTAAGCCATCATCTTGTAAATTTGTCATTCCACACACATTTCTTATGTATATAATTAGATACTGGTGATAGAAACAAGAATACCAGAATGAATGAGAGAACTAACAGAGGACTAACAATCTATCAGGCAAAAGAACCAACTAAGATCTAAGCAGAATACAATAGCATATAACAAGGCACTAACCAATTTGGAACATGTTCAAGTTCACTCACACCTTACCTGACTCGGTTTAAGAGATTGTCACCTGGTCCTGCAGCTGCATTAGAAGTATATTTTCTATTACAACAATTATAATTTAATTCATTACTATGCATGTATCAATTATGTATGCTAATTATTAAGCAGGAAGGTGTTTTATACTGTATTTCAGACCCTGGTTTACTTGGGGATCACCTCTAAGATATATTTTTCTCTGTAATAGCAACCAGATAAATCATTATTCTTAACTAATAATTTCTTTATTATGTATTTATCTTTACTTATGAGTTCAATTTTATAAATAATGTGTTATCAGTCAGGGTAGTGTAGGTTATGTTGCAGTGACAAAGTGCTCTAGAATTTCATAGGCTTAGCAAATAAGTTCATTTCTTGCTCACACTACAAGTTGAGAAAGTGACAGCAGGTGAGTTCGCGTACTCACAGGCCCAGACACTGAAGAGGGCTCTGTGTTAAAACATGATACCCTAAATAACCAAGATAAGGGAAAACAGAATATGGTAAACTGTGGCTGATTCTTAACACTTCTCAGAAGTTACATATTTTGCCCCCATTCACATTTTTTTAGGGAAGAAAAAAGGAAAGTAAATATATTCATTGGACAGAGGACTACTCTACTTCTACATACATGAAAACTGGAGGTTTAGACGACGCTAGAACTAAAGACCAGTCCTTGGTACTTGAAACTACTCATATGTCCTGTCTCAATACTGTGGGAATATGAAAAGCTATGAAAATTCTACCCAAGTCAATGACATGAAAAAATAGTTCAAAGAACACCTGTGTGTCTTTTGATCTCAAAAAGCAGACAGAAAGCATAAACCAACAAATGTTTAACTATTAGAAATTAATGAGTGTTTCTTTATGAAATGATTCAGGCAACAAGCTATTAAAAATAACCTATTTCCCTAAATGCTAAAAATATACTTCCAAATAGGAGGGGCAAACAATGTTACCTCAGGAATAACCATATATTTTAGGTAATTATTTTCTAATTAAACAAGGTCTATCTGCCTTTACTCTTAAATTAAAATAAGCCACATGATATATTCAATTTTTCATTATAGAGTAGCTTATTCTTTCATTTTAATTAAAAAATATATATCCTAAACAAGTTGTCATAAAGCACTTCAGAGACCCTTAAACCAAAAACTGCTTTCTTACATTTCCGCAATGTAATTAAATCTATAATCTTATTTCACTAGAAATTGTTTTTAACCTGAAAATAATTGTATAATAGAAATCTTACCTTATTATTCCGGTGCTGTTGAGACACCAAATACATCTGTATTTTAACTGACAAATTGGACTTCACCAAAAAAAAAAAATCCTTTAATTGTCTAAAGACACCACTAAGAAAATGAAAGTCAAAGCAGAGACTAGAAGGCATTCACAATACACACATCCAACAAAGACCCATATCCATAACACAAAAGAACTCTCACAACTCAATAATAATACCCAAAAAAGGTCAAACGATCTGAACTGAGACCACCAAAAGAATATACACAAATGACCAATAAGTACATAAAAATATGCTTAACACATTCAAACATCAGAGCTTCTTATCAAGTTCAACACACACTTATCATTCCACTCAGCAATTTCCACTCTTAGGCATCCACTCGAGAGAAATAAAACAATATGTTCACACCAAGACCTATAAACCAATGTTCACAGAAGCCCTCTTCATAACACTCAGAAACTGGAAACAACCCAACATCCACTAACTGTGGTACATCCATTATGATAAAACACCCTACAACAACAAATAGGAATGAACTACTGATGAGCACAATAATACATACACTGACAAACTTTTAGCTTAACAGACCCAGAAAAAAAAGAACTCAGATACTCAGATAACTAGAATCACACATGAAAGAGGTACATTACTACCAAGCTTACAGAAATAAAAGGAATATAAAGAAATGTTATGAACCAACTGTATCACATGTAAAAGAATGAAGTTGGACCCCCTTATCTCACATCACATACAAATACTAACTCCATATGAATCAAAGACCTAAAAATAGAGCTATAAGTATAAAACTCTAAGAAAAAAAACATAGGATCAAATCTTCATAACCTGGGATCAGGCAATGGATTCTTAAATTTATGACACCAAACACAAACAACAACAAAAAAAACAAAAAAAAAATAGCAGAATTAACTATTAATCTAATCATCAAAACTAAAAATTTTTTGCTACAAAGGCCATTATAAAGAAAGTGAAAAGACAACACAGAATGGGAGAAAATATTTGCAAATCATTTATCTGGTAAGGAACTTAATATCTAGATTATATTAAAACAACTCTTTTTTTTTTTTTTTTTTTTTATCCTCACCCGAGGACATTTTTTGTTCAGGTAGAGTGGGAGGGAGAAAGACGAAGAGAGAGAGAGAGAGAGAGAGAAACATCGATGTGAAAGGGACACATCGAGTGGCTGCCACCCGCACGACCGACCAGGGCCGGGGACAAACTGCAACCAAGGTACATGCCCTTAGCGGGAACCGAACCCGGGTCTCTCGAGACCGCAGGCTGATGCTCTAACCGCTGAGCCAAACTGGCCAGGGCTAAAACAACTCTTTATAACTCAATGAAAAAGACAATCTAATTTAAAAAATAAACAAAGGATACAAATAGACATTTCTCCAAAAAATGTATACAAATGGCCACAAATGTAAAAAGATGATTGACAATACTACTAATCAGGAAAATGCAAAATAAAACCACCATGCTGTTCTGGCACTGAGTAAACATTTTACTCTGAGTAGACATAGAGGTATATCATACTGGGGATACAGTGCAAAATAAGGCAGACAGGGTTCCTGTGTTTCTATTCAGGCACAGGGTGAAAAAGAGTACACAGAAAAATGAAAACAAGCAAATAAATACTTTCAAAAGTATATAATTTCAGGTAGTAAGTGCTATTAAGTAAAATCAAACATGGTTAGTAAAACAAGACATGGTTACAGAAACCAGACAAGCAGGGCAGGGTAAGAAAGTATGATAGCATTGTCTACACAGATATTAAACTAAGGTGCTTTGCTTGCATTCTCTCATTTAATCCTCTTAACACCTACGTGAAGTAGTTATTACCTCCATTTTAATAACTAGAAGAGTAAGTAATTTGCTCAAATACCTAGATCTCTCTGACTCCAACCAGTATGACATAATGCCATTGAGCATGGAAAATAAAGCTATTTCTTTTAAGTTCTAATTGTTAGATTTTAAGTAGCAATTTGAATGTTGGACTCCCAAGTAAGGATCCCCTTAGATGCTGCATATAAGACAAATGAAGCCAAGAATTACTTGGAAGTAAAGTGAAGAGAAAGAAAGCAAGTGGCAGGAACTGTGTTTCTCTAAAATAATGTCACTTGCTCTGTTCAGTCTTTCTTACTCCCCAAAAGCTGAAGAACTGCTCTTTATCAAGAGAATTACAGTTTAATCCTTCCAGGAGTCTTTTAGAAGGTATTCCACTGTCTTCAAGCTTTAAAAGTTGTAAATGGAAAGTCTTTTATCTCCTTTCCCCCCTTTGTGGGCAACTTATTCTTTCTTCAGGGAAAAATTCATACATATTCCTCAGTGTGCTTTCTCATCAATCCAGCATGAAACTCCATAAGCCTTTTGATCTCAGGACCTGGGTTTTTCTCTGTTTATTATTTCTTTAATTACTATTAATCTCTTCCATCCGTTATTCTCTCTCTCTTTTATGGGATAACTTTCCTTGAATAAAACTAAAGCATCCAAATATATCATCCAATTCAGTAAGAATTTATACTTTATAATAGCTCTTATTGATGAGAGGATAGAAAATATGCAGTTGTTTAAAGAGACTGTAAACTGCCCTGACCAGTTTTGCTCAGTGGTTAGAGTTTTGCTCAGAGGTTAAGTGGTCTCGGGTTCAATTCCTGGTCAAGGGCACATACTGGAGTTGCAGGTTCGATCCCCAGTCAATTCATGCAGGAGGCAACCAATGTGTCTGTCTCACATCAATGTTTCTCTCTCCACCTCCCTTCTACTGTATCTAAAAATCAATGGAAAAATATCATAAGGTTAGGATTAACAAAAATAAATAAAGATAAAATTTTAAAAAGAGACTGTAAATGAACTAAATTTGATAAAAATCAAAATTTAGTTTCACACCAGTTACCATTTGACTTGCATATGGAAAGTTCATGTTGTGAATCTTGTTCTTAACCAACTTTAGAATACCATCTCTTTACTTCCCTTTTGATGGAAAATAATTGCTTCTAAGAGCAAGAAGTAATAAAGCCCTCTCTACTTATTCTAAGAAAACACTATTTCCACCACAGTAAGAAACAAGAGAGAATAGTAAACTATCGGTCAGGTTGATCTTACAATTTAGATATCATCAAATAATACTTACCGATACATACATCGATTTTCCCTTTAATAGCAGCTTCATGCAGAGGGGTATAGTTCCAGTTATCCCTGGCATTTGGATCAGCCCCTTGGCACAGTAACAGACTCACAACCTCAGCATGGCCAAAAGAGCAGGCATTATGAAGTGGGATGAGACCTCCATCATCACGAGCATGGACATTAGCACCCATCTGTAGTAAATGTTCTACGACATCCTTCCTTCCAAAACCTAAAAATAAAGAGGAAAAATATCTTAAACATTAAATCAAGTCTATAAAAAGGACCATTAGAAATCCTTTTAAAACATCAACAAATAAGAACTGAAGTACAATATTCTATAACAAAAAGGGTTAAAAAAAGGATAACATTCAAATGGATTCTCTCATCTCACAAAACTTACAGCTAAGAAAACTCTTCCTTTAGTGTTTGGGCAGTTTATTAACAGAACATTTCTTCAGTACCTGTGTGCTGGGCAACTGCGCTACACAGGACTCCTGTCCAAGGCATCCACCTTTCCCCATGCTGCACAGGACAAATCGAACATATAAAATCCACCTCTATATTTTAGGAGACAAAGGTTATTTGTATATTGCTCACAACCAAATCACAACACTAAACATTACACTAAGGAAACTGGAGAAAAATGTATGGATACCAGAAATATGTGGTGGTACTTGTTTACAAGTTACTTAAAAAGGAATAATAAAAGATAATGCCAAAACATCTCCTCTTGGGGCTAGAGGACAAGTTAAATGAAGTGGATGGTTAAATGAAACAATTCAAGCTTGGATGTACTGAGTTTGAGGAAACAATATAACAAACAAATGTGAGTACAAGCATTTGGAAATACAGAACCAGAACACTGATAAGAAGTATCACAATTTTTAGACAGAAAGGGAGGGGCGTGCAGAAAAGATCTGAGGTAGGATAAGGACTGGAAACACTGAGAACTCAGGTAAGATATACCATGAAAGCACACCGTGGAAGGCAAAGGGCAATTACATTATGCAATGTCCAGCATGATGAGGATTTTAGTGAGATCAAGGGAAAAATAGCCAATGGCAATTTTAAAGTAATTGTATTACAGTGATGCAATTACAAGCTACACTGCAATGGGTTAAAAAAAAAGAAAAAAGAAAAGAAAAAAAACCTGCAAATATTAGTCTTTTTATCTTTACTAGCTAATACTTTTACTAATGATTCTGTCTTTCCTACTTTAAATTTTATTGGATCTTATTGGGTAGATATCAGTCCCTCCATTATATTACCTACCGTGTAATGTTGTTAGAAAATGGCATCTTAAATAAAACTAAAAAGCAGTAAAAGAGTCATTTCTTCCTCCATTTCATTCATACACTAAATAAATGTGGAAAACAGAAAATCAAGAACAATTTATCTCAACATATGTTCTCTACACTATCTACTGAAAAAAGTCACCAAAGTAAAAGATATGTTTCCACAGATATATATCAAAGTGAGAATTAGGTTTCCATAGAAAATATCCTTCAAATGTAGATGTAATTTGGGGGTGAAAATAGGTCAATTCTGTTTTAGTAACTGAAACACCAAAAGTATATGGAACATGCTAATGGACCTATCAACACCTTGCTGCTTGGTTGTTGTGTTTTTTAACATCTGCAGAACTTTAGATATATTAGGTTCTATTTAATTTTCTAACTTCAATGTCCTTTTTACCCCTACTAACACAACCCTACTCCTTCCACTGGACCATAGGTGCTTTCTTTACCCATGAAGATTTAAAGATTTTCCTTCTTTCTAAGTCTAAATAAAGCATGAGTACTAATTTACATTTCCCTAAATAATGCATTAAAAATGTTTGAGAACAAATTTCCTTTCCTCCCTAACATAATAAAGTTAAAATAAGATATTTTATAACTTATGAATTTGTAGTTTTAAAATATCCATCATAGCCCAGCCGGTGTGGCTCAGTGGATTAAGCGTCTTCCCATGGACTGAGAGGTCCTGGTTCAATTCCCAGTCAGGGCACATGCCTGGGTTGCAGGCTTGTTCCCCAGTAGGGGTCTTGCAGGAGGCAGCCAATCGATGTTTCTCTCTCTCCCTCCCTTCCTCTCTCTCTAAAAAAAAATCAACAAAAAAACATTTTTAAAAATCCATTATAAGTTGACGCAAAACAGCAAAGTGTGTGCTTATTTTTTACTAAAGTAAAAATAAAACAAAAATGCTTGGTATCAACAAGAATATGGTGAAAGTGAATTGTGCTCACACACCAATAATAATGTACAAATTGGTACCAAGTTTTAGAATAAATGTGGCAGTATCATCCAAGGCTTACGCAAATATACTAACTCAACAATATCACTTTCCAAACTATCATTTTTTAAAAAGTATTCACATATGATCAAAGATTTTGCATCAAGAATGTGTGTCATAATATTATTAACAGAAAACCATGGAAACAATTCAGATGTCCAACAATAAAGGTTCTGTTAAATAAATGATGGTTTTCATATAATATATCATCCTATATTAAAAGGATGCTCTAGAACATTGTGAATGTACTTAACTCCATTGACTTATACATTTAAAATGGCTAAAATGGTCAATTTTATTTTTAAACAAAATTGTAACATTTTAAAATGTATATATTTTATCAATTTTTAAAAATTACCAAAAAAGGTATAAACCACATACACAAGAAAAACAGGATATTATACAGGGACAGACAGAAGTAGATTTACAGTTATAATAGAAAGAATGCAATAATTAAGAAATAATACAAGAATAAACTCATGTATTCGCAACTGTAAACCTACTTTTGCCCACCCCTGTAAAAAATTAAAAAACATGAGAAGTTGTTTTTTAGATTATTCAGTCTTTATTTTTTTTTTATCCTTACCAAAGGACATTTTTGCATTTATCTTCAGATAGAGCGGGAAGGAAAAAGGGAGGAAGAAAGAGAGAAAAATCGATGTGCGAGAGACACATCGAGTGGTCACCACCCACATGACCCCAACCAGGCCGGGGAACTACAACCAAGGTATGTGCCCTTAGCAGGAACCAAACCGGACTCTCCGGTCCACGGGCCGACGCTCTAATAGCTGAGCCAAACCGGCCAGGGCTGTTCAGTCTTTTAGATTAAAAACATATAAAACAAAATATAGGAGGAGAAATATATATGCTAAAATATAGATGGATAAAAAAAAAGGAGACTAAATCACTGAAGTAAAATCATGGTATGTTTCTTTTCTTTCTGTTTATCTGTTTTCTTAGCATATAAAAACAATTTTGTATAAAATATACATATGTGTATACAAATAGATGTTTATAAAAGGAGGTACAGGTGAACAATCAAAATCAGTAAAGACATTTTATGTGGCAATTATGAAGTCATCTCTTCCAATTAGATTTTGAATTGTTAAAATACATGATTAAATCAGAGGTTTTGTTCAAGTTTATTCAAAACAACCTAGCTGGTGTGGCCCAGTGGATCGAGCGTCGCCCCATGGACTGAGAGGTTCCGGTTCAGTTCCCAGTCAGGGCACATGCCCAGGTTTTTGGGGACGTATAGGAGGCAGCCGAGCGATGCTTCTCTTTCACATCCATGTTTCTCTCTCTCTCTTTCCCTTCCTCTCTCTCTAAAAATAAAACAATATAATATATATATAAAACACATATATTCCACCTGCTCTATTGCGTACAAATCTTAAGAAGTCATTCATCATTCTATCAATGTTAAATGCTTATGCATTATTTTTCACACATAAAGAGAATTATCTCTGATGGTTGTTATATAAGGCCTCTGTTTCATAACCAAAGTCTGCAGCTATAATTATCCCTATAATTGATTTGCTTATTTGGGTCTAAAGAACCAAAAAAAAAAAAAAAAAATTAGCATCAGTTCATAGAACTACATAGAATTTGAAGTAACTCACCACTAACAGACTCTTAGGAAAACAATCTTTAAGTGAAAGCATTACAGAAACATAATGCACACATGATCTTCAGTGTCCCATTTCATCAAGCTAGCACATGCATGTTAAAAATATGGCTAAGTCACAACAGTTTTTAAAGGAATAATGTTGCTACTTAAACATATATTTATGGCTCAATTTTATGAAGGACAAAAGAAAACCACTGACCCATCTCGATCTGATACAGCAATGGTCACTAAAAATTAAGACAGTGTAACACTGTCATTTTTACCAACACAGGATATGTGCCGTAAAGACCTCTAATCTGAGAGGTATACACGAGGTATAATTTAACTTTTACAGAAGAAATCTTTTTGTTCATTGTACATGCCGTTTTCTTGACAACAATACAAATATAATAATGGTAAGTAGCTAACATTTACTAAGCTCTTAAGTGTGTCATGAAGTATGACAAATGCTTGACATGCTTTAGCTCCTTGTGGCAACACCCTGTGAGAGATACCATTATCCTCACTTTATTGTTGAGGAATTCTTTCCCTCAGTTCTGATGTCATGAACTATCTTCCAAATACATATCTCAGATCCATCTGCTCCCAGAGCAACCAGCTCTGTTTCAAGTCCTATAATCTCTTGTCTAGACTTCAGCATATAACCTTCTAACTGGTCTCTGTTGTCACATCTGCTGCACTACAATTCATCCTTACAGAGAAGGCAGAATGATCTTTTGAAGGCATAGATCAGGTCATTTCCCTGCTTGAAAGTCTGCAATGGGTTCCCATACACATAATAAAATATGAACATAAACTCCTATGACCTTCCAGGCTTTATGTGAGCTGGACCTTCTCACCTCTCCTGTCATTAAGTTTCACTCACCCTTTCACTTATTGTTCCCTGAATATGACAAACTCCTTTCAGCCTAAGGGACTTTGCACTTGCTGTGTGCTCTGCCTGAAGACCTGGGACTCAGATATTTACATTTCTAGCTCCTTCTGTCATCCAATTCTCAGCTCAAAGATAAGCAACTCAGAGAGATTTCGGCTGACTACCCAATTTAAAGTCACTCACACTCACACACACTCTTCCTTCACTGTTTTCAGGATCACTCCGTTTTACTTTCCTTCTGTACTTAATCACTACCTGATATTGCTTTGTTCATTTATTTGTTTAATGTCTCTCCCAGCTCAAGATATTCCATGAAAAGAGGAACCCTAACTGTCTTATGAGCTGTTTGTATCTCCAGCACCTAGAATAGAGCCTGATATGCACTCAATAATATATTTGCTGACTACATAAATATGCCTAATGTTTACTTACTTCATGATAAGTAGACCAAAATAGTAAGGAAGCAGCTTTTAATGTTATATTTTTAATTTGCAAAAAGAACAGATTTAAAGGTTTTTCTGACTATGACAATATCAGAAATATTTTAAAATATATAAAAAAAACACCAAACTTTCATAAAAGAAAATCACCTGTAGTGTCACCATCCATATATAACTATCATGAACATTTTGATGATTAAGCTTCCAGATTTCTTTCTTTGTCCAAACTGCTCTCTAATTCAGTCTATCAATTTTCAGTTTCAACTGAAATGCTTGAGAATACTCA